AGGAATTTACAAGACGTACAAATAAGTCTAACAACAAATAATAAAATCAAAGCGCATACACAACCCTAGTGCACATGCTGCCATAACCACCAGCAGCGTGCCAGGGCGTCCGGGCTTGCGAGAGCAACAACATGGCGTGCCAGCAGCTCGTAGCAGGCCTGCTAGCAACGCGCGTCAGCAAGCCTGCGATAAGCGCCAGATTGCGAGACCTACTGGCAGGCCCGACATGGCAGCTGAGCAACAATGCACGGCAGCCCAACAAGTGTCGTAGGCTTGCGGTACGGCTGGCAAGCCCAAGCCAAGTAGTGCACAAGCAGCCCAGTTACACGGGTGGTCTTGCAATGTGTGTTGGACGGCCCAAACAATGCCACAAGGCCTTAACCAGCCTTCTCCTTATTGCCCAAGGATGTTAATCGATCTTGCCTTGTTTTATTAGTGGGTTTGGTGGCTTGGGGAACAAGGAGGCCATATGGATCTCCCTTGTGGTCCTCACCTAACCACTCCCATGTGATTGTCATTTGTTGTTTGATTATTTGTTGTTTGCATTTTAATTTATTTTAGAACTAAATTAAAAGCATTTTATTTCTTAACTTTGCGAAGTCCCACATTGATTGGAAATAAAAGAGATGGAGATGCTTCTCCTATATTCACCCAATGCCTCCCTTTGGAATTGTTGCAAGAGTTGAACTATATAAAAGGCATCGCTATTGAGAAAACTTTAATAAATCCTCTTGTTAGTAGTGTTAATATTACCCTAGCCGATAATATTAGCCAAGTTTAGTCTGTGGGTGGACCACGTTGGAGGGGTTGCGTTTGAGGCTCTTTATCCGTTCGTGTTCGTGGTAAGTGGAAAACACACACCAAGGGTATGATCGTCTTTTCTTCTTTCTTTCGCCTTGTTATTAAGTATATGTTAATTGTTTAATGCATGTTTTATTGCTTTAATTTAAGTACGGATCTTTGAGCAAGTTTCCTTCCACGCGGTGTTGGACACTGCAAAACCCAACACTCTTATCCTTGGAAAAAATAAGAGGGTCAAATCTATGCAATTTCTTTTTATGGTTACACCAAAAAAAGTGGAAGTTTAATGATTACTTTTCCGAGTCTTATTATTTGTTTCTTTTTCATTCTATTTCATATAAGTTTGTACTAAACGACCCCTATATGTATGACTATCCCTTGAATTCTCGTCTTACGATTGAATGATTCACCACACAAATATTGTCTTGTAAATAATATAGATATAGAAGATTAATATAAAACTCCAAATACTATCTATATTTACTTCCTACATTTTTAATTCTTGCAATATACTTTTTCAGCAAACTATTTGTGGAGGTTAGTTGAAAAGGTAATAAACAAATGAATCAAGCTATACAATTTAAACCATAAAAACTTAATATGTTTTCTTATAGTTGTGGTAATAAAATTATATAAATTAGTACGTCAATTTACCTAATCTAATATCATCTTAAAAATGTGTGTCAAAATAATGTCTTGCAAGTTAATAAAAACAAAGGAAATAATATATAGTACTACTCATATGATTATTTTATAAAGTTATAATTTATAAAATAGATGTAGGGGTTGTTACTAATTAGTAGAAATTGGTTTTAATAATCACAACTTTGATCCATTCGCGCTTTTAATAATCACAACTTTAGATTAATATTAATAATGAATCAAACTTTATAAGGGATTTTTTTTATTGGTCCCAACCAATCACTTAACTATTATAACTAGTAAATAGACACATCTCATCATATGATTGGCCAAAAAAAAATAAAAATAAAAATATATATATATATAAAAAAAAAGCCCACACACAAGTCCACAACCACCTCCCACCCAACCCCCTAGCAACCCACCCCCTCCACACTACCCTTCGCCGGCACCCAACCTAGCTCCCACCCCTTCTATTGCCCCCACCTCGTCCCCCATAACCTCCATCCTCAGAAGCTCCTCCCTCTCCACAAAACCCCTACAAAAATCCTTCCTAGGGGATCCATCAGGGTATTTTTGTGGTGGGAGTGTGGAGGGGCTGCCAATTGTAGGGTGAGGAGGTGGGGTTGCCAAAATTTGATGATGGAGAAGGTGGCATGATTATGGGGTGTTTTTTTTTACCAATTACGTGGCGACAAGTATCCATTTAACAAATTAATAAAATTACCTTTTTAGTTATACTTAATATGCACTTGGACCATTAAAAGTAAATAGCTCATAAGGTTCAGATTAATAATAATCCAAAATCTATATCTATACTTATATATTAAAAAGCGTTTATGTGTCACGTGGCACCCTCGCCATGTCATCATATTCATATTTGAAAAATGTCTATGGTGAGATTCGAACTCACAACCACAAAAACACGCATTAAATGACTTACCATCTCATCTGATAAAATAATCATGCTTTTATATTCCACTCATAAATATATATGTGGATTGGAGATCATAACCTTTAAGAGCTGCAATTCTAACAAAAAAAAAATCGATTTTATTATTGTTATAATAATTATGTTTTTATTTTCATTACATTTATAAAATTTATACAAAGAACATGTTTATATAAATAGTCAATAGTTGTTCCATAAATAATTTATTTAAAGATTTAATGAAAAACTATTAAAATAAACAAATAATGAATAAATAAATAATAATAAGTGAATATATATATTCAATTACAAGTGTTCAAAGTAACAACCCGGAGCATCGCCCAGGCAACACAGTAGTTGAAATTATTAATAGTGAACGGCTAAAAGTTGAGATTATTAAAACTAATTTTTATTAATAATTAACAAAAAATTTGTAGAAACCATAAAAAAAATAAAATAAAAAATAAAATAAAAAAAGAAAAGAAAATTGTGCAACTACTACTCCCTTCGTCCCTTAATACAAAGCCTCATTTCATTTTTGGGTAAAACAAATTACAATGCCTCTTTCTATTTAAAGTTTGTATATTTTAACATTATTACTCTCTCATTATTACTCTCTTTTTGTTAAGTTGTTATCTTTTTTCCTTTACTTTTTTGTACTTGTAATATCAATTTCCAACACTTTTTTTTCTCTACCTCTTCAATTATTCCTATTTTTTTTTCTAACCCCACATACACATATGTACTTTTAATCATTAATTTTTAAAAATTTACATCTTTCTTAATTCTTGTGCAAAAATCAAAAAAGACTTTGTATTAAGGGATCGAGGGACTATATGTGATCCGATTGGAGGAAATTGATTAGGATGCATTCGTGTCGACATAATTGGTCAAGATTTCTACTATGCAAGCTCAGTGATACAACTGATATGTCATGAAGTTCTGTTAAAGGCTAAAATCCCAATGATAACCAATATTGCTGGAATAATCTACTCGTATGTGTTGGAAGAAGAAAAGCATAGTGAGTGGAGAAAAACACAATCCAAATTTCTCACCACAAATTATACAAAGTGGTATTTAAAGAAATGAGAATCACGTTGTCACATGACTCACATTGATGCAATTTAAAATTACGATAATCATCAAACTAATTATGATAATCAACAAACTATCTCGTTGTTAGAGAATGGTATATAATTCTTCTTTTTCATAATAATCGCAATAATAATCGCAACAATAGGTGTTGTACATAGTTTTAAGAAATTTATAAGATTGGGATTAAAGGAAAATTTTAATAATAATTTCTCTGTTTAATAGCAATCGTAATAGTACATCTTGCACAAAGTTTTAGGAAATTTATGACTAGGAATCATAAGGTGAATTTTATAAAAATAAAAGTATCACTACGCCAAAAACATTATATAACAGCACATGATTAATAGCGGTTCAACTAAAACTGCTCTAAAAAGTACCTCCATTAACTTCTAATGGCGGTTTTGGATTTTAAGGAAGTTTTTAAAGCGGTTATAATAGAACCGCTATCAAAAGTAAAGAAAAAAGGCGCTTGAAATTAAAGCCTACAACCCGCAAAAACTCAAAACCCTCGCAAAAACTCAAACCCTTGCAAAAAACTCAAAACTACCAACCCTTTCAAACCCTCGCAAAAAACTCAAACTGAAAACCCTCTCAAACCAAAATCCCTCATCCGGCAACCTCACTACCTCCGGCGACGTCACTACCGGTCCGGCGACCTCCCTTTCTCTGTTTCTCTCTCCTCTCCTCCATTACTCCCTTTCTTCGCCATCTTCGTCGCCATCTTCGCAACTCTAAGACTCCAATCTGCAGGTTCGAAATTCTTACTTCTTATTATCGATTTTCTGTAATTTTTTTCGAATTTCACTTCTTATCATTTTTTGGTGGATGATTTCGGATTAGGGTAAGAGGAATTCGAGTGAGGTAAGGTTTGAAGAGGAGTTTTGATGTGGTTGATGTTTCTGTTTTCGTTTGCGAGGGTTTGGTTAATTTGGTTAATTTGTTGAATTTGTTGTTGGATGTACATTTTTTTGTTGAATGTAATTTGATATGTATTTTTACTTTGTTGAATTTCTATTTTTTTGGTTGAATGTGTTTCGAATATCTTTTTTTTTATTTATTTTTGAATTAACTTGTTGAATATATTCTGAAATTGTAGTTCTAATAGCCTCAAACCCAAATCTTCCGATTCATGATTTTTCCTAAAACCCAAGTGTTTCATGATTTTTGTTGTAGATTCTAAACAGCCCAACAAAGACAGGAGCACCTTTGGCAAGTAAGACTGGACAAGGCGAGTCTGTGGACTCCGCTCTGGTCTGCAAGGACGACTGGACGAGGCGAGTAAGGCAACCCTTGGCCGCGGCGAACAGCACCGAGTCACCGACGACAGCTGACTTAGTTCAGTTTAATCAGAGGTTAGTTTTCTTTTGTATTTGTTGAATATTTGATTGTATTTTAGTTTGTAAAGTTGTATTTTGTAATTGTAATTGTGAATTTGTGATTGTAATTGGAAATTTGTGATTTGTGATTTTGTGATTGTTGATTTGTTGTTGAGGACTTGAATTTGTGATTGAAATTGGAAAATAAAGAAAGATACAAAATGAAAGAAAATGAGATTAAATGTCTTTGAAATTAAAGAAGGAAGAAAAAGAAAATAGAATGAAGTTTTTGAAATTGAATTTTGGACTAGTAAAATTGTTGCGATACAACTGTACTACATACAGTGCAATGTACATTAGACATTTGAAGGTGGTGATTTTTTCATGAGCAACTTTTCAGGATTATTTCATCTTTTTATTTTTCTTTTGATTGATTTGGCACATATGCAAAATGGTAAGTTTGGATATGTTGTGTGTGCGCTCTTCTTTTGAGTTTTGCCTAAACAAGATAAAGGTTATTTTACAAGTCACATTTCTTTGTATATTTTGTGTATGGGCTATAACCTGTAACACACAGTAAGGTAATTTTGCCATTTTTGTTGGTTATTACGGTTGAAATTGGAAAATGGTGTAAGATACAAAATGAAAGAAAATGAGCTTAAATATTTAATGATTAAATGTAAGACAAAATGATACAACCGTTTGATTCTGGTTGTACACTTTATTTTTTTTGTTGGTTTTGATATGTAGACAGGATTGATATGTAGACACCGAACACCTACTTCACCTCCCATTCAATCACAAAAGGTTAATTTAATAGAACTCAAGTTTCTTTACAGTAGTTAGTTTTTGCTGAGTAATTATTTTTTTAACATATTCATATTGCACAATGTGTGTTTTTATTAATAGGAAATGAAATCGTTTGACAATGAGAAGGAAAAGGTTGATCGATGTATTGAAGCATTAGTTATTGCAAATGCTCAACCAGAGATGATAATGTTTTTCAAGTATGCTGCAAAAATTGCTTTAGATGAACAAATTAGAGTTCCCATTGATATTGGGATACGAAGTCAGTGCAAGGAGGTGTATCTTGGTACGGAGAAAATTTTTGATTTCCTTGTACAAGACCAAATCGGACTTTGTCATATGAAGATATATATGTCGTAAGTTTCGATACCATTGAACTACAAGTTCTTACTTAGTAGCTTACAAATTTTAATTATTTTAATTACTTGTAGAATTACCTCGCTAACTCACTTGCCTCGTTATTTGTTTTCAAATGAATTAGAAGGATGTATCCGGTTGCTGGCATTAGTGGTGTCTCTTCCTTTTTTGGTTTTATATGTCCATCTGGGATATCACAAGTGACTCAATTTCAAAAGGGGGACATAAAGAAGATCAAGGATCACAATATGAAAAGAAGTCACTACATGGTGGATGTCTTTAAAGACAATGCATCAAAAGGAAAAATTTTCCTCGCTCCATATAATGTCGGGTACCCTTTTTTTTTGTGATATTATCGTTCCCATGTCTACTCTCAATATTCATTTTTTATTTGTCTCAAATAGGATGCATTGGGTATTGTGTGCTATTGATCCTTTCAATAACATCGTATACTACTTTGATTCCTTACACAGTGAAGAGGAAATAGGCACGGGAAAAGGCGTTAGTGAGGATTTGCGTGAAATCATAGATGTGTATGTGCTTTTTTCTTATCAACTATAACTACCTCCATTGACACATTAACTTTATCTATGTCTACTTAGTTTGGTCTATTTATTTCTTTAGTGCTCTGTTTCAATTTCGGAGTGAAATGGAAATTGCAACGAAATTGAAGATGGATACTAAATGGAAGACAATAAAGGTATTAACAATTTGATAATTTAGTGTAGATATGAAATGATGAAATGTATGTATGAGTTCTTACAATTTGACAATAAAGGTATTAAAAATGTAGTGTCCTCGCCAGAGCAACGGAGTTGATTGTGGCTATTATGTGATGCGATATATGAAAGAGATTATCTCACACAAATGCACCAAGATTCCCGAAAGTGTAAGTTTGTATTTGTGTCAATTGTGTGGTTTTTCTGCCATATTCTTCCAAGTTTTACTACCATGAGCTATTGTTCATTGTCCTATGCTGTTGTTGTTTGCTAGCTGCTGCTCGTTGTTGGTGTTGTTGCTTGGTTGCTTCTGGTGTGTTGCAAGTGTTTGGTGTTTTGTTCTGCTGGGTGTTGCTGTGTTGTTGTTGTTGTTTGTTGTTGCATAGTGTATGTGCTGCATAGTGTGTTGCTGTTGTAGCTTAGTGTTGTGTTTGAGATAAGATATTGGTTTGATTTCGGTATGGGTTATACTTTGAATTATCATGGATTTGTTATTGATGTTGATATTATCCTAAGCAAATTGTTTTTTTATGTAGTATTTTGCAGGATGCCAGTTTTCCCATTACGATGAAACTCAACTTGATGATGTTAGACTTGAGTGGGTGCGTTACGTGTTTCAACATATCTAGTCTAAAAGAGTTGTTATAAGTAAATCACTCTTATTTTCCCAAAGTTTGAGTTTCGATGCAAAAAAGTACTATACATCTTGGGAAAATATTTTTTGTAAAGGAACATTTTGTAAAGGTGATAAATTGTGTTGGGAAAATATTTTTTTGTAAAGGAACATTTTGTAGAGGTGATGATTTTGTAAAGGAACATTTTTCTTTTTTGTAAATTATTATTATTATTATTACAGGTTTTGCTATATTATTATTGAATTATTTAGTAATTCATTTTTTTTTAAATAGTTGCAAACTTATAATAGCGGTTACAAAAATTATACTATTTATCAAAGCATATTTATTATAATTTTGGCGTTTGAACCTTTTAACAGCGGTTGTAATGAAATTTGAATTTTGGCGCAAAAGTCATTATTTAATGGCGGTTACAAAAAGTACGCCATTATAGAAAACTTTTCCCACTTTTTCTGATTAATGTTTTATAGCGGTTATACAACCGCCATTAAAAGTGTCATATCCTTTTAACAGCGTTTAGATGAATGGCGGTTGGGTAACCGCTGTTAAAGGGTATTTTAACCGCCATTAAAGCCAATTTTTGGCGTAGTGTATAGTTAGTGTGGATATATTTAATTGTTTATAAAAGAAAGAGCAAAAAAAAAGTAGTAACAGTGGGGATAGTAAAAGAAAAAATAATAAAATACTTATGGAATTGGGTCAGTGAGAGAGAGAAATAATAAAATATTAGTGGATTCTTACCGAATTCAACCTCTTATATTAAAAGGTGTTGCTAAGAAAGTCTATATGCCACGGATACTCTTTCACTTATGTCACATCACCATTCAACCTCTTATTATACCACATCAACACTCACTCAACCTTAATCATTATGCCACGTCACTATTACATCATATAAAAACATAAGGGTAAGGAGATTCAAACACCAACCCTCTTATAGGAAAGATGGTTATTGAACCATTAGCTCCCATGTTAAGAATATGAAAATAAATGTATATAATTGCATATTACAAGGACTATTTAAAAAGGATAAAATGACATCAAAAATAATAAATACATATAATCACAAGGTTTAATTTAAGTGGTAACCTAGTGCAACGCCCGAACCACACACAAGTTATTATAAAACATTTGTAAAAAGAAATTGTTGCAATTATTACGACTCGGATGGAGCTAGCATAAAGTATAGTTGGTACAGGTACATTTAGGTATTGTTCTCTTCAACTTATTTCAGATACTTATTACTTATTCATAAAAAAATTTAGATTAGATCATAACCTTTAACTATTATTTACTTATTGTTAAATATCGTTAACTGCGTATTGAAAAAATTATGAAAATTACATATTTGAAAAGTTCCTAATAAGACAAATCTAACAAGATAAATTTTAATATTTTTTATTTATAGATTATTATTAAAATGCAGTTAGAGTTTATTCAAATTATTAAATTAGATCACACCGTACTCGCAGATAATAAAAAAATCAGGTCAGACCTTATTAAAATCAGAACAGGTTTCCTTGTTTCATGGGAAGAGAAGTTGTTATTAGAATAGAGAAATAATGATACAAAAAATAGTATAAGTTGAGTTGATAGGAGAGAGAAATAATAAAATATAAGTGAGTCATTACCAAATAAGGGAGTGTTGCGATTATTATGAAACGGATGTAAATGAAAAGTATTGCGAATATTACTGTGACACCCCGTCTAAAAAAGAAGGCGAGACATTAGCGGAAATAACGTCGAGACGGTAATGTCACTCTAAAGGTTACTAAAAAAAATAAAGGAAACAACTGAAAAGGTGATATAAAATTATTTAAGTGAAAGAAAACTCAATAAACATAGAAAACTTCAAATGAGGCAGAACAACCATGCAACCGTGTGCTGACTGTGGATAATTAATCCTATGTCAGTTGTCCAGCGGGGGAGAATTCTGGGGCCATATGGCCGTAGCCAGACTGGATGTAACACTTTGGCTACCTAGTTGTCATTAGGCGTAATACTGGAGTCCCTAGCTTTCCAGGCGCAACAAGGGCGTTGCCGTTCTCAAGTGGGGGTGTATGTAATACCCCTCATGATTGCTTTAAAAAGATTTGATATACTACTCATATCAACAAGGTGCATCTTCCTTTTAGGGAGCTCATTTGCTAAGATACTCCACATTTAAGCGTGCTTGGCTGGGAGTAGTCTTGGGGTGGGTGACCTCCTGAAAAGTTTTCTTGGGGCGCGCATGAGTGAGGACAAAATGTGCCGAAAGGACTCGTGTTGGTTTGTGAGGACAATTGTTAGCCCTTGATGCGCATTTCATGGCAATAGGTCCCTCCCTAATTTTTTTGGGGTCGGGGTGTTACAGTTACGAAACATTGGGAGTAATAACTTATACACCATAAGTGTTCATAGATTGTTATGCTTTAAAGACGTATTTTTAATTTAAAGATTAAATCAAATTTCGTCTACAACTCTATGTACGTCGCTACCATTCACAATAATTGTAGCGCAGCCTTACCAAATAATACATGTAAATGTCTCGCATGATGAAAAAAGAAGAAAGCTAAGAGGCTACTCCTTAGCTTCGATATTTGGTTTTGGGATGGTACCTCCTTAAAATGATGAAATGAACTCTCTCTCGATAATGGGTGAGACTCAGGCCGAATTTAGCCTTACCCTTGTCCTGCATTGACAAATAAAAAAAAGTCAAATATTTTATACGACTATAGGGCTACTCATCCTATGCTGATATAGTTTTGGGATGAAACCTCTTTGAACTTGTTAGTAGACTTTTTTCTCAATTATGGGTGCGGCCGATGCCTACAAATAATAACATAGTATCAAATTCAAGCTCATAGCTGAGACCTTAAATGGCTTTAGTGTGCTTCGGGACAATTTGAATTGAGTCTACTTGTGACAAAAATGTGAAAATGCACCCTTGCCTCATGAAGTATCACGTCATCTTAAATTAAAAAGAAACCTCACATATTAGTGGGAGAGGTGACAAATGAAAATTTGTTATCCCAAATAACTCATTGTATGCGTTCTTTATTGATGAAAGAAGAGGGTTAAAAAATTTATAAGGCTAATGTGTAATGACTACACAACCTATTATCACATAGTTTTGGGATCGAGCCTCCTTAAATTTGCGAGAGAAATTCTCTATCTTGATGACGGATCAATGTGTCCCAAGCCTGTATTTGTAGCAACTCTCATCCCTACTGATACGAATAGTTAGAAAATGAGTTTTGTATATTTCAAAATTGATAGAGAATACCTTTATATTTTCTAATATATTTTGTGAATATCCTTTTGTGTAATTAGGTTAATGATATACTCTCATGCACTAGGTTGTAATTCATATAAATATTGTTAATGAGAATAACCTAATCAAGGAGATTTAAACACGCTTACATGGTATAACGACTCCTAGGAAATATTCTCTCTAATTTCCTAACCCTAACGATCCATGCCCTAGCCTACCTCCTTCACCATGATTCCACTTCATCCGATTTTTTTAATCCTAATCCTTGTAATAACTCTAACTAGCTATTTTTCATTCTCTCTTGTACTCCCTCCGGTTTTTTAATTAAGTTCTACTCACTTTATGTTTTCATTCATTTATTTAAGCTCTATTTACTTTTGTTTTATTCCTTTTATGACAAATCTTATTCATTTTTAAAATCCCACTTTGTGAAATCTCTTACTCTTTATCTCTCTCATGCTCTTTAATACAAAGGGATTGATGGTCCCGTATGTTTTCTTTTCCTTGGTTTGGATAACTACAATAACTGAGTATGTAACACTTAGCAAAATGAAGATAGTATTACATTAGGAATTCCCTCATGAGTAAAGGTTTTTTTAATTTTATTACTCCGTATTTCATTTTCTTTTATCTTAGCTTTATGAATTTTGTTGTACAAAATATTAACATCTAACAACAGTTTTGTAAATTAGGCTCAATGTATATCATTAATAAATATATTTTCTTAAAAACATATACATATTTATCTAATTTATATGTACTTAAAAATACTAATATGTTAAAAAGTGCTTATAGTGTATGTGCCATGTGATACCATTCTCTCAAACAAGACTGTAAGAGTTTCAGACCAAATTGGACTTCCAGCCCTTTATAATAATAATAATAATAATAATAATAATAATAATAATAATAATAACTAATGTGGTAGGGACGTTTTATGTGCTCAGCACCTTATGGATTGCTTGAGTGGTGTTGTTGTGGCTGCCACAGATGAGTTAGTTGACTCTATTCAGGGCGATTAATCTTTTTCTAGCTAGAAGATGTCCTATGCAACTAAGATAGTATATTACTAGTGCTCCTCTTACACCACTTGTCAATCCCTGTGGTAGTATCTGGCTTACTATTGTGGGTATTGTTTGGCGGCGTCTGGTTTCGAAGGTGGGTGTTGTTATGGTTGGTCAGTCTTTAAGAAATTACTTTGATGGTCTTCAATTTGTTGTTGGGGTTTCTTTAGGTGGTGAGGCAATTCATCATGTAGTGAATCGGATGATTGAGGACTGTGGTTCTGATATTGGCTTATCTATGATGTTGGTGGATTTTCAAAATGCCTTTAATCTTGTTGATCGTTCAGTCATGTTATATGAAGTTTGTCGCCATTGTACGCGCATTTCACGATGGGTGAAATTCTTCTATTCCAATCCAACCAGATTATATTATGGTGAACAAACCTTATGGTCGTCTTAGGGGGTGCAGCAGGGTGATCCCTTTAGTCCTCTACTTTTTTCTTTGGTTTTACAACCCCAGTTTGTAAAATCAAGGACACTTTTGATGTATGTATTCAGGTTTGGTATTTGGATAACGGTACTGTTATTAGTGACACGTTGGTGGTGGGGAAGGTCTTGCAAATGATTATGGAGGAAGAGCCTCGTTTGGGGTTACATCTTAACGTGGAAAAAATTGAAGTTTTCTAGCCTACAAAAGACCCTCAAAGCAGGCTTGTGGGAGTCTTTCCACCTAATATTACTCGACCTTTTTAAGTAATAACTTGGTGGTCTCGCTAGTTCTGATTCTAGTTTTAGTGGTGAGCTTGTGATGCAGAGGGTTGACCATGACCATTGTTCTTATAGATAAGGTTAATAAGCTCGATGATCCCCAATGCGAGTTGTTGCTTCTTAGGCCATGCACCGAAGTTTCTAAACTTTACTTTTCTTGGCGTACTTGTCCTCC